AATGGGTTAATCCAGCCTCTAGTGGCTGTCTCTTGACAGCTGCTAGAGGGCTTCCGCGTTTCTCACTGTGAAAATCACAGTGACAAGACGCCAGCATCCATAGGAAAGCATTGTTAATGCTTTCCTATGGACTGGCTGAATGTGCGCTCGGCTCCTGCCTCGCATGCGCATTCAGCTGAAGTGGAGGAGAGCTCCCCGCCCAGCGCTGGAGAAAGAGGTAAGTTTAACCCCTTCCTCTCCCTAGAGCCTGGCGGGAGGGGGACCCTGAGGGTGGGGGCACCCTCAGGGCACTATAGTGCCAGGAAAACGAGTATGTTTTCCTGGCACTATAGTGGTCCTTTAACAGACAGCATAGCCCCATGGAGGGGTTAGATATTAATTTCACACAAATTGTGTCTCATTTTAACTTTCCTTCGGTGGGTTCTCTCTTTCTCTAGGCCTACAGACATTATTCTAAAATCTGGCAGACTAACTAGTTTGGGTCAAAATATATATATTTTAGAAAATGCGGGTTTCTTTATATTGTCTGTTCTAAATTAAAGAATTCTAAAAAGTTCAGTTTTGTGTATTTTATCGAACGGTTGTTTTTTTTTTTAGCTGAATGAATTCCCATGATGCCGTTGACACAGGTCAGTATGTTGACAGACTGTCACTCCAGAAATGGTCTCTACAGTGTACAGATGGAGGATTCTGGTGTACTCAGGGGGGATGTAGCTGAATACAATTTGGGGCTTAAAGGACCAATCCACACCCCAAAAGCACTTCAGTTTGGGTGAGGAGTACCTTCATTTAACCCCAATTTATAAAAGTGCTGATTTCTATGAGAAATCAGCACTTTTATAAATGAACCGGGGAATTCCACCCTGGCTGTCGGTCAAACAGCCAGGGAGGAATCCTTCCTACTTCTGTTAGCTCCCCTGAGCTAACGGAAGTGGCAGGCACACTATACTTGAGCGTGTCTGCCTCCCCCTTCCTCCCTAACAGACCTCAGACCAGCTTCAGCAGTGCACAAGCGGAGTGCGTGCGTGCATGCCTCTGTGCACGAGCCGGCTCACGCGTGGCCCAAGTCAGAGGCTTATTACCCTTAAAGTCTCTTCAGGGGAAAAGGGGGAGGCGCTTACAAAGGCTGCAGTTACAAGAACTCCAGCTTTTGTAATCTGTTTTAGACTATACTCCCAATGCATACGTACATGAATGCATTCACTGCGGGGTGGGGGGGGGAGGTTGGAAGAGTGGAGAATTCACAGTTATAACGCAATGTGTATGTGAAACCGATTAAACAATTATAGTGAATAAATGGGCACAAGGAACAGGCTTGATACCTGCTTTTGCAACTCAAAATTGAGGATATATCTATAATTTGACTTGATGCCTTCACTAAGAATTTTAACATATTAACCACTTAAGGACCAAACTTTTGGAATAAAAGGGAATCATGACATGTCAGACATGTCATGTGTCCTTAAGGGGTTAAAGGGAGTAAATTGCAGTTGGGACCTTTTACTTTGTCCCAGATATAACATCACTCGTTAATTCAATCAAAAGTGAATGCTTGAATATTGACCCCATAACTTCACCTTATAAAAACTAGTGATTGCTAGTTGGGATTATTGCAGTATGCAGGGGCTCTAGCCCAGAACAGAATTACAATATTCACAGTAAAAATGCAATGTTTATGAAAGAAAATACAAAAAAGTTAATATAACCAGGGCTTTGGGTGGAATTTAGGGATCAAATATCTACATGAAAAGTTTCAGATTGCTCATAAGTAAATAACCTGGATGGTCTGCTTTCT